TCAACACTGAAGTCCTCAGACATTTTTCTTTCGTTGTTTCTTTCTTTGCACAGGTAAACAGGACATTTCTTCTTCTACGCTTGCATTATCGGCAGAGCAGACGCTGAATGCGCACTTTCATCTGGTTTGGTCTGCCGCGGTTTCCGTAGACTCGTGAACGCGCTTTCAGGAAATCCTATACACTACTGTTTATGCTCTAAAAAACATTCTAAATGACTTTGTTTCGAGTAAATTATGGACGCTACCCACTCAGGACACTTGGAATACATTGGACGAGCAGTATGGAGGAATATTGACACGTTTTTTGTGGACTTTTATGGACCTTTCTGTCTCGGGCGCCATAGACCTCCATTATTTGAATGTCAGCAGACAGCAAGAAGCCTCCCAGATCTCCAGATGCATTTGAGATATCAAAAAAGTACTCCAGAGTGTTGTTCAGCATGGGGGTGAGTAGAAAATGAAGGCTAATCATGTTTTGGGTGTACTATTCCTTTAATCAGTTTTAATGCGATATTAACCCTCGACCTTCTGGTTTTTGGATTAAAAGCAAGACTTTACAAAATGCAGCTTCGATACTGTCTGTCAAACGTTTCATAGTTTTCTCATCAGACAAGAATGGTAACAATAAAACATGCCTGTTTTATGTAGACTTATTGGAGAGCAAAGAAAAAGAAAACAATGACTGTGTGTTTGAGCTAAAAAAGAAAAAAGGAAAGAAGCAGACTTTTCCCCAGCGGTTTTATCCCACCGCTGAGGCACTATGTTTTCAGTTGGGGAAAATTTACAATGGCCATCTAACTGTCTTTTGCTCAAACTCTAATCTCTTCCACATGTTCCTTCAGATTGCTGTTGGCAAGCTCTGCGGGTTTAATGTGATGCATTGGAAATGTTAGTGGACTGGCACACGGCTGTGGAGCGTACCGCGAGGTGAAAACCTGAGCTGTAATAGAGCAGAGCTGCTTCACTTCAACCACTGCAGCTGATTATGTGCAGCTCTTCCTTTAGGTGACTTGGTAAAAACCTAGGCTTGGTAAAAGTGGGTTGAACAGATGACAGACGGAACGGAAGGGAAAACTGTGGTATGCTCTCATTCTTCAGTGGGGGGTTTCGTGTAATGCAGGTGCTGACGTTGACCACAAATAAAATGTAACTCTGTCCTCATTTAGGTTACTGCTCCCTGAACGTTGAAAGATGGCTCAGTTATTCCTCAATGCAGACCGGATAATATTTAACACAAAAACATATAAAACCAGAACTCAGCAGTCGTTCAGTTGAGGATTATATAATGTGTTTGTGAGATATTAGCAGCCTTTGAGTTGACTATATGTGAAGAAAAAATCACTATAATAACTGCATCATACAGATTCTAGAATGATGCTTTAAATCAGTGGTCTCCAACCCTGGACCCTGGATGATAATAACAAACCAATAATAATGAGTATCTGCCATAGGGCACTGAATGCCGTGCACCTTTATAAACGTTGACACCTACGCATGTTTCCGACAGCTATTGACCTGCAGTATATAGGGATTTCATTCAGGATTAACGTGGGAGTCAAAGTTGCAGAAGTAGACACACTGGCTCCACTAAATAACAATAGTAAAAATCTTATATAGGACAATATAAAGCAGGGTTCTCCAACCCTGGTCCTCAAGATCTAGTGTCCTGCAGGTTTTGGATGCATCCCTGCTTTAATACAGCTGAATCCAATAACAGAAAAACCTTTTTCAGTTTGGCAAAGGTTTGGTAAAAAGCCATTCGTGTGATTAAGCTGGGCTGATGCATCTAAAACCTTCAGGAAAGTAGGTCTTGAGAACCAGGGTTGGAGAACCCTGCTTTATATGGTCTATATAAGATTTTTACTAGGGATGGAACGGTTTATGAAAACCGTCTGAACCGTTCGGTTCGACTGTCTCGGTTCGCGTGTGTTGCGTTCGGTTCATGCGCTGCTCCTTTTTCTCATACGCGAAGCGTTTACACTCCAGAGCAAAAGGTGGCGGTACTGCGACCAAAGCCAACCACCAGTAGTAAACAAGAAGAAAAAGCGAAGGGAGTCAATGTTGCACAAGCAGACACACTGGCTCCACTAAATAACAATAGTAAAAATTAGGGGTGGAACGATTCACAACATCCACGGTTTGATTCGGTTCACGGTTTCATGGTCATGGTTTTCGGTTCGGTTCGGTAAATATTGATTGTTACACCGAAATCCCATAAAAATTAATGAAATTAATAAAAACAAAACAAAAATTAATGGATTGTAATTATTTTAAATGATTCGTGGAAACCCTGGATTATTTACGCATCTTTTGCTGCTTTGAATTTAATCATCTGGCGCATGCTCTCTACCATCTCCAAGGAACTCAGAGGGGAGCGGACGGGAGCCACAGTGGAGGCTGTAGGCTTTGCTTTGAGCAGCCGGTCTGGAGCGCAGCGGGGGTTGCTGACGGAGTATGAGGGATTTCGGGGTTAGCATGACATGTTGGTCATGTTGCTGTTAGCATAAACAAAACGTGTTGCACAATGCTTGCACACTGTTGCACTTTTATCCAAAACTTTCTTTCCGCCGTCATCGTAGGTCACTCTAAATGCAAAGTGGTCCCATACAGCAGACCTATAAAGTGCTGCTGGAGCGTCTTCCAACTCCTGTTCTTTCCCACTCGCCATACCCACACAATTCTCCACAACAACTGATTTTTTTCTGCTACACCCGGCTACGCTGCTTCGCTTCTTCTTCTTCTTGTTTACTACTGGTGGTTGGCTTTGGTCGCAGTACCGCCACCTCCTGCTCTGGAGGGTAATCGCTTCCTCAATGAGAAAAAGGAGCAGCGCATGAACCGAACGCTAGGGTTGTAAAAAGTATCGAAACTCAAAAAAGTATCGATACCAAAATGTTGTATCCGGATACAATACTCATTTTTAAAAGTATCGATACAGTGCCACCACCAGTGGCACCTAAGCAGTCATTCATCTAAAGTGCAGAATAGAGGACAATGCACAATCAGAACACTGTGTGATTGAATAATTCTGTGCACTGTTCAGTTTCAGACTTTTTTTTTGTAACAGGTGCAGCTGCTGAGAATTATTTTTGTTTTTAACCAGTTTGGCTAGCGTCATTGTTATGTGTGCAAAGCATAGCCAAGGAAGGAACACTTAATTTTAATTTTATGCGTTTTTTATCAAGCTTGCTTAATATTGTGCACAGCATACAACCGTTATTGTATTTATTTATTGTAATTTATTTATTAATGAAAATTTTCTGTAGAATTTTGGAGTCTTTGTTTTTATCCTTGTGGTATCGAAAATGGTATCGAGTATCGAATATTTTCCTTAGTATCGGTATCGAGTTGAAAAGTTTAGTATCGTGACAACCCTACCGAACGCAACACACGCGAACCGAGACAGTCGAACCGAACGGTTCAGACGGTTTTCATAAACCGTTTCATCCCTAGTAAAAATCTTATATAGGACCATATAAAGCAGGGTTCTTCAACCCTGGTTCTCAATACCTACTTTCCTGCAGGTTTTAGATGCATCAGCACAGCTTAATCACATGAATGGCTTTTTACCAAACCTTTGCCAAAGTGAAAAAGGTCATTCTGTTATTTGATTCAGCTGTATTAAAGCAGGGTTGCATCCAAAACCTGCAGGACACTAGATCTTGAGGACCAGGGTTGAAGAACCCTGCTTTATATGGTCCTATATAAGATTTTTACTATTGTTATTTAGTGGAGCCAGTGTGTCTACTTGTGCAACATCGACTCCCACGGTAATCCTGAATGAAATCCCTATATACTGCAGGTCAAAAGCTGTCGGAAACATGCGTAGGTGTCAATGTTTATAAAGGTGCACGGCATTCCATGCCCTATGGCAGATACTCATTATTATTTGTTTGTTATCAACCCGTAGAAACGTGTGACATCACAGATTTTAAGGCTCTGTGGGGGAAAAAACTCATGGCATGGTAAAAAGGATTCAACTTTGAAGGTGGAAATCAAACTGACAGGTATAAGTAGGAGTTGACAGGGCAGAACAAAGGCTGGTTAGTATGTGAACTGAATGTTGCAGAAAAAACAGGAATGACAGCAGCTTTACATGATCTGACTGATTATACAGACAAAAAAAGAAAGAAAACAACTGAAATGGAGCAGAACTGCAACAAAAGATCCTAACAAATGAAAGATGACATGATGGAACTTCAGAGAAATTGGAGAAGAAAGACTGAAGAATAAACTAGAAAGTGTAAAAAAATACACCTATGGAGAAATGAACCGGTACGGCAAAACCCAAACAGAAAAAACTAACACTAGTATCTTAACAAGCTGAAGGCATAACTGAAAAACTCAAGTAAAGAGTTAAACTAAAACAAGCAAACGATGAACTCAGAAAGTAAAACAAAACCAAATAACAGAGAGAAACAGAAAACGAACACACAAAAAGTCAAAGAACCCCAAATCACGATAATTGCACCTCTTGCTTTTCTAAACTTTGTTTGGAAAAAAACAAAAACAAACTGAAAACCATATGATCCTTCTGCTACTAATTATGCACTTTTCTAAGCTGGTTTATTCTTTGTAAAACACATCAAAGTTGGTGGATGCACTGGAAAAACGATCTAGAAATAAGTAAAAATGTCTTATATTAAGTGTATTTACACTTAATTTGAGTAGGTGAATGAGATAGTTTACCAAAGGAATTAGTATTTTTATATTTAAAATAAGATAATTAGATAACGTGCACTTGAAATAAGACAATGCTATTGTTTTTTCTTATTTTAAATGAAAACTGTCTCGTTCCATTGGAAAAATGTCTCTTTTAGCTCCTCAATTCAAGAAAAAATTACTTATCTAAATTAGGATTTTTTCTATTTTTGTCGGAAAAAATGGAGAAACTCCTAGTTGTATGAGTAGTTTTGTTTATTTTTTATTTTTTACCTTTTTTTCTCTCTCATAAATGTCATAAATTGCTATAAACTTAATTGGTTGTTGTCTCTCTGAAGGGCCAGTGTCGCGCGTTCCGTGTGAGCTGCTGCCGGTCGGGGCAGGTCACCCGGTGCAAGCCGTGGTGCAGAGCTACGCTATCCTGTCAGGCTGTGCAACTAACGGCACCATGAGCCTGCCTGAGGAGGTGCACGTCATCAACCTGAGAAGACATGCCGCCGGGGGCCCAGACAGCGCTCCAGCAAGAGTGAGTCATACATACACCCAAAAAAAGAAAAATGAACCTACATTTTAATAGAAGAGTAAAAAGTCTGATCTTATGATGAGAGAATTACATTTACAAGCTGATTTCACCTTTTTAACTCCACCTTTTTATTCATCTATCGAGTGTCTGACAAAAGGTCCACCTCTCATGACCGGTTTGTGAGAAAATCCACACACCCTTTACATTTTGTTGTACTGCTGTGACTTCTTCACAGGTTAACACAGATGGGCTGTTTCTTTCTTAATGCAAAGCAGTTAGAATTGTTTGTTTGTCCAGTTCTCTTCACTGCACCTCTTCACACTTCCATCTCATCCCATCTCCTGCCATAAGGTGTTATGCAGCAGATCCTGTTGCTGGATAGCATGAATCATGTGTGAAGAACTCTCACGTCTGGAGTTTTAACACAGTGTGTAGCGCAGCATGCGTAGGCTTGCAGTTTGTCAACTCTTCTTCTCTGTCTGCTACCTGCTCTGCTAAGGTGTGATACAGGAAAAAAACTGCTTCACTGTGCAAATATGAGGTCTCTGTGGGAGCAAAACACTTTGTGCACCCACCCTGAGCCGTTTTACAACATAATAGGTGTTTGTAAAATGTTAACGAGTACAAACGGTGATTACAAAGGATTTTCAATTAGCCCTGCTAAGAGATGTAGCTGTGTTATTAGATGATTCGATTTTCACTTCAATTCAGTTATTTATATAGCGCCCATTCACAACACACGTCATCTCAAGGCGCTTTACAGTTCACATGACTCTTCCTTTGTAAGGAAACTGATATCTGGGGAAGTAACTGATCTGTTGGTGAATGAATCCAAAGTGAGGCCATTATAATTTATCTTATATTAAAGGATTTTTCCATAACATGAAAAGCTAAATATTCTTTTCTAATATGTAGTTAAGTTAAAGAAAAAGTACATTATTACATGGGAATAATGTTGTGCCAGCTGTACTAGATACTGACTAAATAAACTAAAAAAAAACAACATTTTAAATTGTATTTATATGATATAAAAAACCAAGAACCTATGAGGTTACTGAATACAAGAAAAGATTAATAAAATGTGAAACATTTTTAAATTCCATCTAGAGAGCTTTTTTTAATAAACCCAAATTAAAGCAGTAAAAAAGTGTTAAATAGTACATTTTTATCCATAACATCATTACTCTGCATTAGATGTTTCACTCTCAGAGTCTAGAGGCCCTTCAGTGCAGCTGACGCTGCCTCCATCCTTCATGGCAGAAGGTCAGTCTGGCATCAGCTGAGATTAGTGGACTGCAGCGAAGCTCATCGTAGTACTTAAGATATTTGCTTTTGATTAGATAAGACCCTGTGAAGGACAATCTCTGCCTCTTCCCACTCAGGTCCACCTGAGCTGTGGGCTCAGTATTGACTTTTCTGGACTTTTTTCAGCTGAAGTGTGCTGGAGTTCAGTTCGGCCCTTAACGGCGTAATCTTGCCCTGATCTTTCATGACAGGAAGAAGAGATCGTTAAAGTAGATTAAAGGAATTATAGGTAAATAAAAAGAGATAAGGAGATTAAAGGGACCTCAAACATCCTCGGCCAAAAAACTTAAAAGGCTGAATTAAAACAATCACTTTGTTCTCCATTATTTAGCCCCGACAGCTGGGAGTAAACTGTTATTCCTGATATCAGTGGATTACATCGTGAAAGAGTTTTCAGGTGCATCTCAGAGCAATTTGCACCATCAGCTGTTTACAATCCATTCCAGGTTCCAGGACACGCTGTTCTCAGAGGAAAAGATGTTTTTGCTCTTCTCCCGACTGGTTTCGGAAAGAGTAGCCTGGCTTGTGGTTGTGTTTTCGTCGTCGCTCTGTTAGTACGTCATATGCTTCGTTGATCTGATTGGTTTATTTGGCCCATCTATCACCAACATAGGCCAATCAGCTAACCAGTATTTTCGCCCCTTCCCAAAATTACTTCAACGGAAGGTTTCCAGATGGATATGCGGAGCAAATCCATCTGATGGAGTCAGGTTAAGTAACGGCAGCATCTTCAGGCTAATAGCGGTGTCACTACCCAATGCACGGTGCATCCTGCACATGCGCAAACAGAATAACTTCCGGGTAGGCAATCATTTTTTTTCGTACTTTTTAAATTTTTTTTGTCTCTTCCAGCGGGGGGTTCCTTTTGAATATATTTGTATTTGTGTAAATATTGCATTCTCTAAAAACAAAAAAAATCCTTAAATAGCCTGCTGAATGTTATTGTGACTGCTCTGAACAGATCCGTTGATCATGTCACGTAATACAATGGATGTCATGATGGGTTCTCTAAAGGAGACCCAGTTATGCAGAACAGCACTGAGGGACACAAGGATGAAAAGTTGAACAGTTTATTTAAGCACAAAACACACTGAATGTACTGATTCTGGTTCGGGCCTGGATACTGGTTCACCGGAGTCTGCGTGAGAGACAGCACAGTTAGTGACTGCTGACAGGGTTTGATCTCCACAGGTTCACTGTTTGTACCTTGAGGGTTCTTGAGGTTTACTTTGGGAGAGTCACTGTTGGTTCTGGAGAAGAGTTTGTCAGCAGAGCCCGTTTGCTGCTTCGGCGTCTCACGTCTTAGCTTGAACAGACCTTGGCTTAGATTTCCCAGCTCTAGTCCTGAGCTGCTTGGGGGTTCTCTGTGAGTCTTCAGGGTTTGGCTCAGAGGGTCGGCTCGGCAGGTTAGCTCTTCCAGAGCTTTCACAGAGGAGGCACAGGTTTCCTGGAAAACAGAGACAGTAGTTAGAATCCAGACTGGATTCAAAGTCATGGAGATTCACTGAGGATCTAGGCTTTAGCGCTGACCAACTGGAACAACACTGCGGCGTTGAGGCAAGGTCTGAAGACAGCTTATGTAGTGGATCCTCTGATGATCTTGACGAGCTGCAGCTGTGCAGGAGGCTCCCTCAGAGGATCCACGGCGGACTCTGCTGGAGAAAGATGGGATTTTCTCCAGCTCCCAACAATGGACAGAATGTAACACGTATCCATTTCTTCCAGAAAAGTCTTCAATAGTTTCTATACAGTGTAGTTTAGCATTCTTTAATGTTTTAAGTATATAGATAAGTATTTTCAGTACCATTATTACGTAGTTTTTATGCGATCGGGATCTTATTATTCTGTTCGCACAGGACAGATCAAGCTTCCAGGACGGATCAGGTGGCGACAAGTGGTTCCCTTCAAGGGTTAAAGTCTGACTTCATATCCAACAGCATTTCTGTCATCAATGGACAATTTAAAAATACAAAGCTGGACACAAAAACAAGAAATGCTTAACAGAAGCTGCAAACTGACTTTAAATGTAATGCCCTGTGTTCAACCATAAACTTTAGTCTCTGCTGCAGCACAGGAAGCCTGCTCTGCATGACAACAGTGGACAGTGAGAGACAGAGGGAGGCAGGCTTAAGATCCACTCGCTCAGGAGGACAGAGTTCGATGCTTCATTGTCGCCAAAATCTCTATTAACACAGAAAAAAGTCACTAGATTTGGTGCTAGGCGGTGAAATAAAGACGCAATGGGGTCTGAAAAGATGCTAGATTTAGCGACAATGTTTCTGGCATCTTGCGCTATCTTTACGAACTCTGACTTTGGAAGGAGGGGGAGTGGAAAGCCAAAACAGCTCGTTTCAAAGACGGCTGAATAAGGAGAGTTTTGGTACATGCTGTCCGTCTAATCTGAGAGGAATTTCCCTGCACAAATGACAAAAGCCTGCTCTGGGGCCTTCATTGTGAATAACCTCACTAAAGCAATGTGTAGCTTTTCTAGAGAATAGCTATTAGGCTAAAGATGCTCTGCTAACGTCATTAGCCACGAAAATGAAAAAAACCGCCTGACTCAAGATGTCTAATTTCCTGAAAAGTAGCCAATCAAAGGCGGTTCAGCCACAAACTTTTACTTATATTACAAAATGAACACTTCATAACAAAGTTGATTCTCTTTTCTTGTTCTTAAGCATGTTATGTAGTGACTAGCATGGTTAGCATATTGAGCAGGATTACAGTAGCATAACCAAAATGAGTCAGTCAGTGTATTCCCTGTAGAGGTAACTGGCTGTGGTTTAAAAACAGAATAAACAACATTTCCTGAACCGTGAGCCCCAGCAGATGAGATTGGACGAAAGCATCAAACCGCATTTTCCGTTTTTATCTGGCTGATTCCAAACATTCAGGGTCCAGCGTATAACCAACCTATCCTTATCAACAAACCGTTGGTTTCTGCACCATTAATCAGTCTGTAGCGGTTTGGGTCTTTCCCCGGTTACGTTGAAAGCTTTTCTCGTTTTTACTTTGGTGGGTATCATCTCATGATAAGGTTTGATTAAATGCTCTTTGCCTTCAGCACGTTAATCCTTTACTTCTTTCTCAACCTAACCAAGAGGTGCGTGGTCAGATGTGCAACTGAAGGAGATATTTCTCTGCTCTCTCCTCCTCGTGTCTGCCGACGGGAGAGGAAGCGGTGACTTGGCCACGGAGCCGCCTGTGTTTGTGTGTTTTGAATGATGGCCCGCAGCACAGCAGGTGCTTGTGGCTGAGTGTCGGCTGTCTGCAGCAAGGTGCTCCTAGAGACAACAAACTGCCCCGCTGACTCATACGTGGTGTCTGCAAAGCTGTCTTAACAAGATATGGAAGAAAATCTGCTTTTTTCCACACTGTTTGCATGGGCTAATAAGGAAAAGAGAGAATGCATGGTGTATTTCAGACGCATGTCTTTACACCCATCCTGCTGCAGTGTGTGAGGCCTGCTTGGTGTCACATCCAAAGTGTGAAACTCATGGCTCGTCTTTGCTTTCTCTAAAGGCATGCGAGCAATGAGTTATTTCCTGCCTGCACCAGTGAACCCAGGCAGAATGTGAACTTCACAGATGGACCTGACTCAGTTAACGTTTTTCTGGCTCTGGTTAGAGAAGCACTACATCAGGAGGTGCAGCAGGAGACGGTAGCAGCCCCCGTGCATGTGCCATGGTCTGGGCTGA